TCAACACTCACCTCTCTTCTCCTCCATTCAGGTTGTAGTATATCCCTCAGTGCCCTCACGTCTAATGCAAGTGAATCAACCTGTCATAGACGTGATCATCCCAGGTCCTTAGACCGCCGGAAGAACAAGGGGAGAAGAGGCTGCGAGGACTAGTCTAGCAGCTAGACGTGACAGAGGATCAGGTATATCTTCAGGCCATAAAAACCAAAATCTGACTCCAGACAGCTTTTGTGATAGTTCCGGGAAAAGTATATAAATCTGTAAAGTTTTTGTTGGTGGCCATGACACCATTGGACCAATTTGATCTCACAGCCAGACAAGAAAATACAGAAGAGGGTGTAAATAAAAACACAACGGGGGGGATTTATCAAAACTGGAGCAGACAAAATGTGGAAATGTGGGAGCAGTTGCCCATGGCAACCAATCAGCTTGTCTCTTCAGTCTGTTAAGAATTTAAAATGAAAGATAGAAGCTGATTGGTTGCCATGCACAGCTGCTCCAGTTTTGATAAATTCCCCTCAATGTGTTTTGCAGCAGTCTATATCCCCAATAGAGAGATCCCCCCTTTTGTCCCTTAATGCAAGGATTCTATCCCTTCCTAAAAGTTTGGGATGACAGCCTTTTGTTTAGAAGTAGAAGGGCAGAACTGTGGGCAGAATAAAACCTAAGTGCTCATTTTGGTCTCGGGTAGGTGGACAACTCTGGCCCTCCCGCTGTGCTATAACTACATATCCCAACATGCCTCTGCGAGTCCTGCCTGTAATTGTCAGTCTGGCAATGCCTCATGGAAGTTGTAGTTCCACAACAGGTGGCAGGCTGGAGTTGCCCAACCCCGATATAGGGTTTAAAATAACAAAGGTTCGGGTGAATATATCGTTCTCATTTTAGACTCTAGAACAAAATGAGCACTTAACCCTTGCAGTGTGGGGGTAGCCCTACTGCGAGGTCAAGTTTTATTCTGCCTGGAGTTCTTCTTTAATCACAAATTGCATTTCCTACAGGTCTATGGGAATGCTAAACCTGCTTGAAGCAGTCAAATGCAGTACAGAAGGAGATCAACTGCTGGTCAAAGAATTTGCAATAATCTGAGAAGCATCCTAAACTGGTGTCATCAACACTAGCTCATTGACACAGGCCTTTACCCTCTCCACAAATTGCAGGGGCTGTATCCCGTCCCTACTGTCTGAAAACTAAAAGAATGATTTGGCAGGAGTTGGGCTTTAAAGAACAGGTTCAGGCTTATCTAAGTTAGCCCCCCCCCCCAAAGGTAAACTGTACTAACCCACCCCAGCTGCTTGCAGGAGCTGCTGCCTGCGCCGGTGTTTTACCACCTTTATGATTAAATACTCTTCAGTGCTGGGCATGGGCATGCTTAAGGTCTTGAATGACGCTGTATACCAAAGATCTTCAGTCTTTTCAGTCTTGCACAAATGTGGAGAATTTCTTTGGAGAACAGGACAAAAACATAGAAACAGGACACAGTTATGGCAAGTAAGCAGCTGGGGGGTGAGGGCAGTTTACCCGGGGGAAAGAGGGGTCGCAGTTTATGTAGTTTCCATAAACGTAACTCTTCTCTTTGGTTTCCAGCAATGCTGAAGTTTGCTAAAATGCTGTTGAAGCCTGCTAAAATCGTGTCTGAATATTATTCAAGCATTCACTCTTGAGCACAGTAATTCTTGCAATCTCTCCTGTGCTGCCAGAGATGCTAACCAGCCAGGATAGCTGCAGGTAAGGAACGTTTATTTTTACCAAGCTTTATGAATAGAAAGTTTCCAGAAGAATTCTGTTCCTGCAGGCTGAATTTTCAAGGCGATAATGTGTATGTGAAAAATAGGCCGGGAATGTTCACCTTTCAATAATCATCGCAGTAGTTTAGTACAGCCCCTGTAGCCTGCCTTGAGTGTAGGAAGAATTATCGGCAATTACACCGGCAACCAACTGCCTAGCTAGCAAGTGCTACAGTTTCTCCTTCAGGTGAAATGTAAATACTGTTCAATGCAAAATGATTTTTGTTGGTTGTAGCACTTTACATATCACTTCTGCCTGATTGAATAAACCCACCAGCTGATTCTTCCATTCAGTGGGCAGTGGAAGTAGCATTCAGCAAATAGACCTGGGTGATGCTGGGAACTCAGGGCAGCGGGGGATATTTCCAGTAAAATATGCTCCTAAACCGGGGGAACCATGGTGTCTGCAGGAGTATCATGGGGGATCTGCATTGTATCTGGTGTAAAGAATGAAAGCCACTGCTATTTCCAAGGACACCACACTTCTGAGTTAAGATATTAACATGGAAATCTCTGGTACAGTCTGCTGAGCCAAGGATGGGGTCATGAGAATATTTTTGCGTATACTGTGATGTTAAAGGAGAACTAGCGTCCTCCCGTTACCCTAAGCTCAGTATACCGCAAGCTACAGCTCGCGGTATACTAAGGGGGGAGGGATGATATTCCCAGGGACAATACATTGCTGCACTGGGGAATATAATTCAAGGTAGAATGTGCTGCTATTCCAATAATAAATGAATGTGGATAGTAGCACTGGACTGCGTTTAGGGAGGGTCAGTGGTAGTTGAGGAAGGCACTACTGAGTTGGGGTTGGCGGATTAGTAGGGGTAGATTTTCAGGTGCAAATGTCGAGGAAGCAAAGTACAGTTCCAAAGCCAATGTAGTGATGAACAAAAAAGAATGAAGAACAGAAAATAAGCATGTTGTTTACTGGGTTCAATCATCAATGTGTATAGGGGACGACAACTATAGGTAGTGTTAGGTAGGTTATGACAAAAGAGGACACTATAATAGTCGACCTTGGGAAACCATCTTTGAGACAGGAGGGCTAGCCACACAGATTCCTAGTAAAACACTTAAATGTTTGCCTAATAAGTGCACCTATGTTATAAAAATTACATTAGATATTATGCCCACCTTCCCTGACCCAAGGCTTGTGTAGTCAGAACAAAAAGTGAAGAGGTAAAAAGGAGATACTCCCTTGCTTCTGTACTGGGGGGATATATGTGTGCCAGTAAGTCAGGATGAGGTGGGGCAAGGTAAAGGGCCCACAGCTCTAGGGAAACTATGAACCCTATCAAGTTAGCAATGTGGGGTTTATTGCTGTGGTCACCGACAGCAATGTGGGGTTTATTGCTGTGGTCACCGACAGCAATGTGGGGTTTATTGCTGTGGTCACCGACAGCAATGTAGGCAAGGGATGTGGGGTTGAGGTCCTTGTCCCCATCAACACAAGTTGTCTTGCCATCAGCTTGACTGGCAAGGCACCTCCCCCATGTTAAGGGCATATAGCCACACATTTTTTGGTGCTCTCCAAGCTCTGCAGAAGCACAAAGAAACAGGGAACGTTAAAATTCAAAAAAGGCACTGGTCGGCCAAGACACAAAGTGCAGAAAATGAAAAACACATTGGAGGGGAATTTATCAAGACTGGAGCAGACAAAATCTGAAGCAGCTGTGCATAGCAACCAATCAGCTTTTTTCTTTCATTTTCAAATCTTACCTGAACTAAAGAGAGAAGCTAATTGGTTGCCATGGGCAAATGCTCCAGATTTTGTCTGCTGCAAATTTGATAAATTCCCCCCATGTTGACTTCCCTCCGCAATTGGAGAATGTCCAGTGCCACCATCAGCTCAGACTTGGCATAAACCAGTAAGACTCTGGTGTGGCCCCCACAGAGTCCTGATCGCACAGCGCTGAGTTTGTCTGGGATTAAGAGACAGAAGCAAATGAAAGCCTAAATCTACAGAAGATCTGTGGTTAGTTCTAGATATTGTAAACAAGTTACCTGCCTGGTTTCTTAAAATAACTGTATGCAAATGTTCCCAGAACTCACTCTGTATCAATTGTTTTCCATGAGTGCACATTGTAGGTTGTTAAATGTCCCATATCTCTGCAGACTACAAAACACCTACCCCCCCTATATTATTCCGTGCTCAGTGAGACGAGGAGAACAACATTGATGAGCATAACACCATTAGCATTGCACACATTCTGTTTAGATGCTGCTTTGATTATAAATAAAGTCAAATAAAAAAAGCGTGTCTGACTGAGCCCTGTACTGGTGGTTCCAATGAGATACAATGTGTTAACAGTAAATATCAGTCTATCATAGCATCCAGCCACTTACCTACCGAACTGTAACATTTAGAGCATGATTAGGTAAGAATGCAGCTTGGTCAAAAACATTAGTGCAGTCATTTTAATCTTTTACATATAAAAAATATATCACAATGACTTATGGTCTTAAAGAAGAATAACCAGTTATGAAAATGACATAAAGTGCAAGGATGCTAGCACTTGCTGAACAAGCTTCTTGCATTCCGATATAACCCTGTACAAAGTAGTTTTCTGTTTCATCTCCAAGTCTTCACTAACTGCAAACGATTTACGTTTCCGATTTAAAGGGAAACTATAATGCTGTTGGGTAAATGTTTTTTTTTTTTTTTAAATGTGTTGGGAAAGAAATATATACCCAACACTTAGAGCATATGACACTGCAGCTGTCATGCCAGCTCTATATCCCAAGAGCTGAGCGATCATGTACCTGCTGATCGTTCAGCTCATGGCTTCTCCCTGCAGAGAGTGTCAGTCACTGCTCCTGCACTGTTTCCCCCCCCTCCCCTCTTCATTGGAGGGACAGACAGTTGGCTGTAGAGAGGTGACGCCAGTTATCAAGCAGCTGGGTGAATCCCAACAATATTGTAGGGATCCTTGCTGGCTGCAGTGCGGCTCTGCGCTGTCACCAAATGGCACACAGTAGCCTGCTTTATGCTGACTTTAGGTTCCAGGAGTACATTAGTAAATGTACTTCTGTGACCTAAAAGAGATGTAAAGCCAGAGAAACAAACAGAAATAAATAAAAATAAGTCAAAAATGAATTTGTCAATTCTTGGAAAACTTTTTTTTGCAATCTGTAGGTCAGCAGTCCAAGTATTTATAGTCTCATAAAAGAAGCTTTGATTTTCTGTTTTCATTTCACAGACACATATCTTTAGTCATCTGCTTGGGACTCTTGTATTTTCCATTCTTCTTTGCTGGGAATTCTGCATTTCAAAATGAAGGGGCTGTTTTCCTACACAAGAGAGAATCATTCGTTAACTGGCAAAAATCATCCACCTAAATTAAGACAAAAACGTCTGGGATTCAGAGTTGTAGCTACAAATTATTTTCATCTTTTAATATATCTAAAGCCAAAACATTTGTTTGAGTTTTGGATGGAGTGGGAAAGATCTAAAACTCCTGTTTTTTTTGCCGACATTGCGGAGATTCCCCTTTACTTCCTGACCTGAAGACACAACAGTAAGTGCGAGGAGATTTCCCCAAAGTGACATTCTCTCACGTGTCCCCAGACTTCTCTATTTCTGTGACAACCTAGTTTGAATTTTCCTTTGCTTTCAGTCCAGACAAGAGTGGTCACCAGGATAAATAGAGAGGAGGAAATCACAGACAACAACAAACATCTCAACTCTCTCTTGGATGTTCCGAGAGTCTCCGGCTATAAGATAGCGGCTCCGGGACACATTTTCTCCCGGAAAGGTTTACTCTGCTTTATCTAGCAGAGTAAACCTTTCCCTGCATAGGAATGAATAGTTAGGCTTCTATTGGCTATTTCAATTTGCAATAGCCAATAGCAGACTAGCTATTGCTCCCGTCCACTGCTGCTGTCAATCAGCAGAGGTGGACCTGAAGTTCTCCATCAGGTCCTCTTCTGCTGATTATCAGCAGCAGAGGGCGGGTGCAATAGCCAGCTTGCTATTGGCCATTGCAAATTGAAATAGCCAATAGCAATCCTTTTTTTTTTTTTTATGACAGCAGGAGCTGTCCGAATACTAAAAAAAAACCCAGCAGATAGCAAGGGAAGCATTAGCTTTTTTGCTATCTGCCATCATTTCAGGGGGGTGCGAGGGGACAGAGGGCACCTCAATGAAATGGCTTTTTTCAGGTTGGGATCCCCTCAACAATTTACAGTAAATCTGACAGGGGATCTACCCATCCTAGCTCCATCTACAAAAACGTAAAGTTTTGGATTCGGATACACTTTAAATGTCTTGGGGACTCTGACAGCAAGATTCCCCTGCCATAATTCCTGCTTCTGTGAATCCCTTCCTTAAAGTCCAACTCCTCCTGCTATAAAATTGGTGTTTACATGCCTCAAGTTACATCTTCCACATTTAAAATAAACTTAACGCTCCATCAACATGCTAATTTTCAAATAAGACCTTTCCATTTACATTACAAACCTTATTTTTGAGCCACTGAGATTACTCTCTATGCAATGCAGGCAGATCGTGGCTGGTGGGAGGGGCCAACAGGGTGCTGTATGCAGCTTCCTGGAAAAATCACAACACCCTGCTTCAGTACTCCTCAAGATCCTTCAGCCTCCATACTTGCAGCTGGCTCTTAAAGGCGAACTATGGGGTTAGGGCTTTTCCCCATAGTTCTCCTAAGGGTAACGGGAGGACACAAACTAGCGTCCTCCAGTCACCCAAAGCTCAGTATACCACGAGCTACAGCCCGCGGTATACTGAGACGCCGCAGCCGGAACGGATCTCGACAATTCTGTCTGGATCCACCCAGCTGCGTGACAGCTGGCTGTGCCTATCTAGAGGCAGAGCCAGCTGTACCCGCCCCCTCCCCCGTCTGTTCCGCCAGTCAGCGCTGAAGGATCAGACAGGGGAGGGGGGAATCCAGTCCTTCCCCTATCACAGCTCTCTGCCGACACAGGATCGAGAAGTGAGCGAACGCCGGTATGTGTTCGCTCACTTCCCGATCTACTGAGCCGACCTGTGACATTTTCATTGTCACAGGTCGGCTCAGATTATGAGGCTGAGCGAAAATCAATCACTCGCCTCATAATTCTCCTTTAAGAGGACCTTTGCAAACATCAAATTGCCTGGATGGGTGGATGTCAGTCTAGAGGAGTGCGTGTGCCTTGGCAAGCAGCATTTGCATACAGAGAGCCCTAGGTAAAGCCCACATTTCTTGCTGAGCCTGCATGATTGAAATAACTGAAATCCAATGAAGGAAAGGGGTGGCCCAGGGACAATAAATTTGGGGAGGAAAGGGCTAGATTATGCTGGATGCCCTCCAGCCAGGAAAATGAGGTGGGCTTTATCCGACTAGCTGTAGCGTCTAATGCACATTGCAAGAAGCTCACAATGTGCAGTGAAATCAAGGTAAGCTATTTAAATACAGGAGAGGAGCTTGTACAGCTGTGCAAGACTGAAGGTAAGGCTGGAGTTTGGCTTTAAAGGAACTCCTGTATAACTGCTACAGTAGGTGTACAGACCTCGCGGTAAAAGCACAGTGATCCTGCCACTTCAAATCACAGTGAGACTTCCAGAAGAGCTTTTGTGGTGGTTTGCATTGCACTAAAATGTAAAACCTCTGAATTGATAACTTAAAGTTACTGGACAATGGAACTCTGGGAACTGGTAATACTTGTAGCTGACCTGTGGAAATTGCTCAAGCCTATAAGGGGTAAACAATCACTAGTACCTAAAAGAAAGTTAAAGTGCTGTCCAAATACAATCCATAATTCAAAAAACAAAATCCATCCCAATACAGTTGGATGTTTTATTACTTTTGTAAAATTTATAAAAAAAATATTTAAACATTAGGGATGCACCGATAACGGTTTTTCGGTATTGGAGTACCGATATTTATCTTTTGGTACTCACCGATACCAACAAGACGCTAATGTGTTTCAGCTATACAAACCTTAGTCATAGCCGAATGTGCTATGTATGATGTACTGGATTTTGGCTTTAATCAATAAAGAGGAATTATAGAGAGTGTTTGAACTCCAGAGCTTTCACTTACTTGCACAATATATGGAAGGTACCAGGAGCCCTGCTGTTGAGACCCACATGCAAGGTTGCAGTGGACAGAGCAAAACATTTTTTATGTGTATGCTAGTACTGAAGTGGTTTATGCAGAAGAGGCCTCTGTGTGTGTGTTTTTGTGTGCTTTCCTTGACAAGGTAAATGCATTACCTGATTTTTGGTGGAATGTGGGGGAGGGTGTTGTGTGGGCTGTACAATAATGTGCTAGGTTCCTTGCATAACCAAGATGTCACATACAGAAAATCCACTTAAAATCTATACAGTTATTCTCTTCTAAACCATATGTTCTGTACCGATACTGTATCATATCTTAAACATTAGGGACTCACCACAATTTTTGCATCACAGTACTCAGTTTCATGCTGATCGCTTTCTCTAATAAAAACAAAACAATATACGGTATCCAAACATTGATTCTGTACTAATAAACAAAACAAGGGATTCATCATTAAATAAAATATCAAACAACGCAGAGCACATGGTATTATGCCGCACTTTGCAATTGACTGAAAATACGATCTATCAGTTTCAACAATCTCTACAAGTCATAAAATTGAAACAATTAAAAATGATCTCCTAATCAATCTGTATAATAGTTCCCAGACACACATGGGATTGCATTTCTATTTAATCATGAATGACCCATCTACATTATAATGTAGTGGAACCAATGGCCATGTACCGACCTACCTTTGCCATGTGCTTAACACTTGCTTGATTCAGGTCATATGACCTATCAGGGCTGGTGCACACCTAGGTGACATCACGCACAACACAGATTTGCATTGAAGTCAATGGAGGCTGCTCACACCTTTGCGGTTTGTCGCGCGAAAAGGTGCAGGAGCTATTGGTGCTGTTTGGGTCCCATAGACATCTCTATGCATTAAAAAAATACGTGAAAACAGCTCTGCATCTGAATCGCCTAGGTGTGAACCCAGCCTAAATGTCATATGACTTGGCTCTCCTCTGCATCTTTTTGCAGAGAACACGTCGTAGGACACTGTAGGCTCCACACTCACACACTGTAGTGTCCAGTGAAGGGCGTATAGTGGTATTTACAGTCTATTAAACATTCAATCTTTTTTCAATTATGAATCCACATTAAACAAATATACATTGGCCAGAAAATTATTTTCATACATTTTTGCCCAAGCTTGCCCAAACTGTTTCTGAACAGTTGGCTCTAAAATCCATTTCACACCAGAAACTGTGCACAGCGTCTGGTGTGCGGTGCCTGTCACAGTGCCAAAGCACTAATCCCAGCACATCGCACTGTGTACTTTTTTGTTGTTAAAAACAAAATTACATTTCCTTCAGTTCTATAGGCACAGTGGAGTGCGTGGCAGTTGAACTGCGTCGCATCCTGCTGCATTGAAAAAAAGTAAGGCATGCCTTATTTTTTCTTTCAGCGCACACCACCTCGTTCCTGCCACAGCACGGTGGCGAGAATGGGCACCATCTGTGACAAGACAAATTGCCTTGCCCTGCGTTGGGGCTCTGCTGGAAACAATGTCCAGCAGAGCTCTAACGCAGATGGTGTAAATGGGCCCTAACTCTCTCAGCTCGGTTTCCCTGAGCTTCCTGTCCAGTACAAGATCACAAGGGACAGAGCAGTCTTCAGTAGTTGTCCATCTACTAGCTTGGAGGAGGGAAGAGGGAGAAGTAAGAGCGGGGAGGAGAGGAGTTTCTTGCCTTGCTGCTAAACAGGATATCAGGACCAGTGCTCAGGAGACCAGCTGATTCTGCAGGAAGCACTCTTAGTTTGAGAAAGGACATGGTAAAGAAAACATCAATATCTTTAGAACAGAAAAAGGTAAAACTGCAATGACTTTTGCACAATCTTTGCAAAGTTTTGGGAATGACACAAATATTATTTTCACAAAGTCTGCTGCTTCAGTGTTTTAGATCTTCTTGTCAGATGTTACTGTGGTATACTGAAGTATAATTACAAGCATTTCATAAGTGTCAAAGGCTTTTATTAACAATTACATAAAGTGTATGCAAAAGAGTCAATATTTGCAGTGTTGACCCTTCTTATTCAAGACCTTTGCAATTCGCCCTGGCATGCTCTCAGTCAACTTCTGGGCCACATCCTGACTGATGACAGCCGATTCTTGCGTAATCAATGCTTGGAGTTTGTCAGAATTTGTGGGGGGTTTTCTTGGTTATTCGCCTCTTGAGGATTGACCACAAGTTCTCAATGGAATTAAGGTCTGGGGAGTTTCCTGGCTATGGACCCAAGATTTTGATGTTTTGTTCCCCAAGCAACTTAGTTATCACTTTTGCCTTATGGTAATGAGCTCCATCATGCTGGAAAAAGCATTGCTCGTCACCAAACTTTTCTTGAATAGTTGGGAGAAGTTGCTCTTGGAGGATGTTTTTGTACCATTCTTTATTCATGGCTGTGTTCTTAGGCAAAATTGTGAGTGAGCGAACTCCCTTGGCTGAGAAGCAACCCCGCACATGAATGGTCTCAGGATGCTTTACTGCTGGCATGACACAGGACTGATGGTAGCGCTCACCTTTTCTTCTCCGGACAAGGTATTTTCCGGATGCCCCAAACAATCGGCAAGGGGATCCATCAGAGAAAATGACTTTACCCCAGTCCTCAGCAGTTCAATGCCTGTACCTTTTGCAGAATATCAGTCTGTCCCTGATGTTTTTCATGGAGAGAAGTGGCTTTTTTGCTGCCCTTCTTGACACCAGGCCATCTTTCAAAAGTCTTCGCCTCACTGTGCGTGCAAATGCACTCACACCTGCCTGCTGCCATTCCCCAACAAGCTCTGCACTGGTGGTGCCCCAATCTCGCAGCTGAATCAACTTTAGGAGACGGTCCTGGCGCTTGCTGGACTTTCTTGGGCACCATGAAGTGATGCCTTCTTCACAACAATTGAACATCTCTCCTTGAAGTTCTTAATGATCCGATAAATGGTTGATTTAGGTGCAATCTTAGTAGCAGCAATATCCATGCCTGTGAATCCATTTTTGTGCAAAGCAATGATGACTCCACGTTTCCTTGCAGGTAACCATGGTTAAAAAGGTGCCCATACACTGCCCGATTCTCGTACGAGAATCGCGGGAAATCCCGCGATCGTACGGGAATTGTGCAGTGTGAATGAAGACGTGCGACCGTTTCTACTGTACGGTCGCACGTCTTTTGTCTAAGGAGCATGCTAGAAAACCAGCCGAAAATTGTACAATTTTCGACTGGTTTGAATGATGCTCGGGAGACAAATGCCAAACGGGCCGGTGTGCGCATGCGCACACTGCCCGTTCAGCATTGCGGTCATCGCAAGCCCGCCCCTCAGGGGGGCGGGCTTGCGATGATCGCAAGTAAGATCTGCCTGTCCAAGATGGGCAGATTGTAGGTTTTTTTAATTACTTTACAACCATCGCAAGACTAAGGTCTTGCGATGGTTGTAAAGTGTATGCCACGTTAACAGAGGAAGAACAATGATTTCAAAGCACCACCCTTCTTTTAAAGCTTCCAGTCTTTAATTCTAACTCAATCAGCATGACAGAGTGGTCTCCAGCCTTGCCCATGCCAACACTGACACCTGTGTTAACGAGGGAAATCACTGACATGTCAGCTGACCCTTTTTTGGCAGGTTGAAATGCAGTGGAAATGTTTTTTTGGGGATTAAGTTCATTTTCATGGCAAAGAGGGACTTTGCAATTCATTGCAATTGATCTGATCACTCTTCATAACATTCTGGAGTACATGCAAATTGCCCTCATACAAACTGAAGAAGCAGACTTTGTGAAAATGAATATTTGTGTCACTCAAAACTTTTGGCCAGGACTGTATGTAATGAGCGGATTTTTATTTTCTCAAATTTAAATGGACTGTATAATGTGTTATTGCATATATTGTGTATTATGCACAGGACTAAAAAATAAAAAATAGAATTTATGACTTTGAATTTCTTTTTGGTCAAGTAATTATGAGACATTACAACAAGTGAATTGCTGTGCTCCAATGATGCCAATGGCATCAAGAGGGAACAATCTCAATTTAGTAACAGACTGCAATTAAATCCCATGAATTATTTTAACCCTTTCTCACTCAATTCAAGATTTAAAAAGTTCTTGCTGGAGTTTAAGTTACCGTACTTTCTAATGTGAACCAATTTATCTGTTGTAATCAAAAGGCAGCATATAGTAACACCCCCTGTATTGTGGAATAATATGCTTGCCCCTAGAACACATACTAACAATGAATAAATCAAGCTGAACACTTACCCATAGTCAGATATAGGTGAAAGAGGTTCTTTATCATCCAGGTATTGGAATTTCCTTGTGTCAAACTTTTCACTCTCTAGTTCTTCATCCGCCTCCATATTCTTTAGAGATTTTTGCAAATGGTTCTCATATTTAAGATCCTTTACATAACCCAGAAAACCACCCAAAATATATTGCTGCATGAGAAGATAAACATACTTTTAATTATGCACTGTAAAGCAAGACAGTATAATATGAGATTTATGCACACAACAGAATTATGTACACAAAGTACTGTGTTAAAAGAGAACTAAAGCCAAACCTTTCATTTTGGCTTTAGGTCAAAAGTAGTATATTTACTATTGTACTCCTGTGACCCAAAGTCAGCATAACAGGCTATTGCCCGCTATTTGCTGACAGTGCAGAGTCGTGCTGCAGCTGGGAAAGATCCTGACAATATTGTTGATATTCACCCTGCTGCCTGAATCTCTCTAGATCCAGTTGTGGCTGCTCCCTCTCCTGTCTGTCCCTCCAATGAGCGCTGGAGGAACATAGAGAGGGGAGGGGGGAATCCCTGCAGGGAGCAATGATTGACAATCATTGATCTCTGCAGGGAGAAGACCATCAGCGGTACATGATCGCCCAGCTCTCGATCTATAGAACCGGCATGTGACAGCTGCAGTGTCACACGCTGGTTCTAAGTATTGGGAAGAGTATATTTTACTCCCCCAATACTTCTCTTTTAAAAGTAGCCTGCTTTGCAAAATGGTCATTTAGATACAGGCGACAAAAAAACCTGAAGCAAAAAAAAAAAAATCCCTAGGCTGGTTAGGTATTCATTTCAAGAATCATTAAATAGATTATATAGCACATGTGAAAATGTTCCCAAGCTAGCAAACAGAGCTGATTCTTCATTTGTGTATAGGTATGTTAACTGTAAATGACGCTGTAGCCCGAAATCCTTTTTGAAATATACAACCTATATTTTGACATAATTGGATTACAGTAATTCTGTTGTTCATAAAAACAGAGATAAGGTGTCTATAAACATTCAGTGACGGTGTTCAGTTTTTTTTCATGGATTTGGATAAGATCTAATTTCTATAGGGCACTTGCAGACAGCTTGAGCTTGTTGGAAGGGAATTGCACCTAGTCTAATTGCTATTGTTTTGCTCTTATAAACTGGTCCCAGATGTGTCTGCAGAGCATCTTCTCCACTCTGTTCCAAAAACCTAAACAAGACCAGTTGTCCTGTGCAATCACTCATGTTTAGGGAAGCAGTTCCCAGCACAGATGCCTAAGAGCAGATGGGATTCGGTCTGGACATCTGTTTGCACTCTAATGCCATGGTTCTCAACTGGTGGGTCGTGACCCAAAAGTGGGTCGCGATCCCATGTTCAGTGGGTCGCAGCATGCCTTCCACTGCACTAGGAGGGGCTCCTCAGCCTCCCCTATAGTGCAGAATTGTCACTTCTCGGGCCAAGCAGATAATAAAAATATGCTGCTTGGTGCTTGTCATTGTCAGCTTGAGGTGGGGTGGGCTGGGCATATGCCCATTGACACGGGTTGAGCTGGTGCGGGAGGTCCGTTGCATTGTCAAATACACCTCTCGCCCAGAGTGCAGTGCGACTTGGGTCATAACTTAAAGACCAAGGAAAAATGTGGGTCCTGAGGTTATACAGGTTGAGAACCACTGCTCTAATGCATATGGCCAGTTGTGGAGCAGGAGAGGATGAATTAAGAGTTTGTATTGATAGCTAGTATATGTTCTAACAACCTCTATGTACACCTAAAGTAGCCTATAAGTGACCCCAGGGTTACTTATACAAAAAGTGTCACTAAAAGTAGTGTTTATTTACTAACCTACCTGAGCAGCACTGCAAGGATTTAACTGTCCGATGAGTCAAATGCTTGCTCTCCCACCAGCCGCTCTGCTTTCTCCCACCGGTTTGTAAGTCCTGTAATGATAAACATGCCAATGGAAGGGACCACAGCAGCTGGTGGTGGGGAAGTGGGCAAGCATTGGACTCATCCAACAGTCAAAGTTAAATAAACACTTACAAGTGGGCACTCTTGTAAAAGTGACCCTTTGATGATAGGATGATGGACCAAAAGTGAGAATTTACTACAGTAAAACTAAAACAGGATTTTAACCTTAGTTCTAAAACCAACAAGGAACAAGGCTTCCAATATGAATAAATAACATAATATAGAATGATTATGCAAGCATTCCATTTTAAGAACATTCTTAAAAGATAGAACAGTCACTAACATCTCAGACTGCACCCCATCCATAAAGCCCTGCATCATGCCAGATGATTCACTGGCTAAACATTTCTGAATACATTTCACACATAGAAGCTTTGCATAGGAATTTGGAAGCTTTACATTACATCTGCAACAGCGCATTTTGACATGCTTAGGGGCTGAGGCAGAAAGTGGGCTGCAGAGTGGGTGCTAGGCTTTTCAGTTTCTGCAGCCTCCTATTAAAACAAACAAATGATAGAAATTGAGACATGTTAGAGACCCACTACCACCAGCTGCAAACATCAAATAACACAGGTATAAACCGCCGGGGTTTGGATGCAGCCACCACTAACCTGCCATATTTTCCAAGATGGCTCTGGCTTGCAGCACCTTCCCTCTCTGTCCTGCCGAATCCTCGTGCGGCTACAACCAGAAGTGATGTCAGCAGCGCTGGAGGAAGTGAAGCAGTCAGCCTCAGAACAAGGCTTGGAACACAGCTCCGCCCCCAGCCAACCACTCACACTTCCTCTGGAGGGAAAAATCACCAGCTCACAGCACAGGGTATTTCCCTACACTGCAGGGTGGGGAACCTCTGGTGTCTGCCCTCTGATGAAAAAAGAGGTACAGAGAACCTGGGAAGAAGAAGGGGAACCCTCTGACTCCAGGGACAAGGCTAAACCTCCTTGAGAAAGAGACAGCAGAGCCCTAGAGAGGGGGGACCGGTGACCTTTAATGCCATCCGGACCAGAGAAAATAAGAAATGTGACGATGTCTCCTGGACAGTAAGAAACACAATCTAAACTGAGGGATGAGGGTGGGGTTTTTAAACCTTTTGTTATTTGCGTTTCCTGTAGATGGGAGAACCAAATCATCTCTCTTGCTGCTGTGCTGGAAGATGATTGGGGAAACTGTGGTTTGAGGTCTTATCTCTAAAACTACAGGAGGTATATAGCTTGTATATCTGAATTTGTCCAAAGTCTACACAACACAGAATTAAAAAACATTTTTGTGAATGAAGAGAATTTGTGCTGAAAGTATCTCACCTCATATTGAAAACACAATTTCAAGGACAAGTGTTTTTTTGATGCAAAAGGAAACCTAATTCCACAGTGAAGCAATCTTCTTTTCCTTTGTTCCAAAGGAACAGAGTAGAAGGGTTTACTTATTCTTTCTTTCGGAGGTCGCTTTTTTCTCTTTTGCTTATTTTTTTTCTTTTTCTTTTTTTTCTTTCTAAAGTGATTGTCAAAAATCTCTTGTAAGGTAAGCTTTCTTGGTGGCAGCTCATAGTCTGAAGACTCATCAGTGTCGTTATTCTGAGGTGCAGGGGGATTCAACTTTTTGCATCTTTGTGCTCGTTTAGGTCTTGTGGGTGCAGAAACAACCTCATCCTGAAACAAATGACTGAAAAAAAAAAAATAGAAAAATGATTCACTATATTGAAAATGACAGTCACCATACTGCTGATAGTGGCCTGTAATGTTTCAAGTGGATAGTCTTACTGCAGGTTTTGTTGGAGTATTTTTGTTTTTACATATACGCCCTGCAACTATATGAAAACATTTGAAATTAATATATGTAGCTCATAACTAAACCGAGTAAAAACAACTTTACTGCACATGGCAAAAAGTTAAACTGGCCATACACCTTTAGATTCTGGGCAGTTTCTGTGGTCAGATGGAAAAAGTGCAACAGATTCCTCCATCTACGCTAAACTGTATGGATGGAGGAATCTCCCAGTGGGCCAGGCTTCAGTATCTTGCTGGTAGGCCCTGCAGGCTGTCTAAATACCTGAACAATCTGATTGGATGCAGGCACTGTTCAGGTATTTTGAGAGCCAGCAGGCCGACTAGCAACAAAATGTATAGGTATATGGCCATCTTTAGGCCTCATACACAGGGGACTAGAAGATGCAGCTGAAGTTTCCTGTGACAAGAATCTATGGAGGTGGATGCGGCTGCTCTACCCATTCAAGTGAATGACAGGCACATCTATCTGCATATTTAGGAACGATTAACTGTGGTTCGGGATAGAGGAGTGTCCCTGGATGCGATCTGAGTCCAGGGGTAATCACCTATGTCAAATCTCGTAATCATTCCATCTATAATTACATGCAGACAGCCATAGACAGATACAGCCGCCGTCAGCCTGGCATTCCCTAAAATGGGCAGAGCGGCCACATCTGTATGGACCCACTTGGGATTTCTGCTGCAAGACTCCACAGGTTCTTGCCGCAAGTATCCTCAGCCGCAGCTTCTAGTCCTGTGTGGGGCTCAACAAGAAGAAAAAAACATGAATGCGTGAGTACCTCCACTGCTGTGAGTTGTTTGGCCGTAGTCACCGTTTGAGAATTTTTGGCCCACCGCCTTTGACAAAAGACGTTGAAAAACAACTTTTGTCAAAACGAGGGGAGCCGAGGGGATTACACACCAGTCAGATTTCAGCCAAGTCAGCAGGAGAAACTGTTTAAATGGGGATACCTGTTCTCTTGATAACTCTATTAAAGTGTAACAGGAAGTGAAGAGAAATCCCTCTGATGGGACATAGACAGCAAAAAAAAATAATTTTTTTTTTATTAAAGTCTTAGGTACCCCGCCCCCCTCCCCCAAGAAATTATATGCAGCCATCTTAAGAGTGTATGTAGCTGGGAGGTGGATGAAAAGATGATGTAGATCAGCAACAATGAGATGAAAGATTTCCATCTACCCTATGTGAAATAACTAACTGCTAGGCTTCTCCTTGAATAACTGCCCGTGACTCTGGTTACTAAACCACTAATATCTAGCAAGACATGTTCCCAAATGTTTTGATCCATTATTGGAAATGCTTGGGTAACAGTTTGTAACTTGTGGTCCTGGTAAATATTATTACACATATTATGTATTCGTTTATTTGTTGTACTGAGTGGACAGCCACGCTGCATGATCTCCTAATTGTGACCAAACAGAACCCAACCATAGAGATTCCCTGATTTCATCAAGAAGAATGTTTATGAATGCCTGAAGGTGGTTTCATAGAGGCACGTGCAATACTTTGTACCAACTTATTTACTGTAATAAAACATTGAAAACCATCTTCGGACTAGCTGGTTCTAAAAATTGGATGGCATAGGCTCAGGTGAGGACTGGGAACTTTGGCCTGGGAGGGCAACACAGCCAAAGGGGTGAAGACAGTTATATGATGCCCAGCAGCTATCACTGGCAGGGAGCAAATGTCTCCCTGTTTACCAGCCCAGTCTTCCTTGCATTGGCTGTTATATTAGGCAGAGAATAACAAAAGGGGAAATGATTCTCCAGTATAAAGGTCTGCTCACTCTGTGAAAAGAGGTCAGTGCTCTTCTGTGATTTAGGAAGAATAAGTCCCCTTCCATCTCAGGAACTGTGCAGTAATGAGATAATGGTGCCAATTTTTAATTAGTTTTTTTATTTGGGTGCATTTTCTGCTAATTCTACAATAGAAAATTATTTGTCAGTTCATTAAAAGATTCAACACATGGATCAGCTGAACGCTATTCATTTTTATGAACATTCACAAATATTTCCAATAGAAGGCAGCAGTGTCTGGAAACTATTCACTATGAAATCACATTAAATGTCTACTCAGAACAGAACACTGATTTGAGGTGGAGATAAAATAATGATTCATGTATTTCTTTCAAAAAAAGTTTACTACCTGTGCTATCATTGGAGAGAGTTTCTAATTTCCTGTCCCAGTGACCACACAGGGAGTGTGTTAAAACTGCCTCACTGGTTACAGAAAATGTCTAAATATGACAGAGGCTCTAAAAGCTGGCCACCCAGAATTTTGGCCGATTGAGCAGTGGGAAGCCCAACTGCACCACCTGGTTCGACCAAGGCCAATTTTTTATTCTACTTTTGTCAAAGGATCCAGGAGGAATCTTATCAGCTGAACAGTGCCTGCATCCATCTGATGCAGGCACTGTCCGGGTACTTTGAAAGCTGTGGGCGCCGGCTGTCAGAATACAATAACTCAGCAGGGGAGATTTGTCCATCTGCACAGTTTAGCATGGATGGAGAAATCCAACCTTAACCCTTTGCCACTTAGCATGGCAGAATGTTAACGCTGGTGATGTGCTTCAATTTTGCTGATTGTTTAGCAAAACAAAAGTCCACTTTGAGAACAAAGCAACACATGTTCTTACCTGTTGTCATTGTGGGTTGAGTTGTCTGATTGATGTGGGATGTCATCTTCTCTATGTTCCTGATCGCTAAATAGCTCTTGGCTTTGAGGAAAATCAACACTAGCAGAATTATTTCCTTGTCCTTCCACTGCTTGGAAATGATCCATCTCTCATTCTCTTTAGCAATCAGACGTTTGCACTCAATATAATCACCAATAGATTTTCATAACTTATTGATGGAGCTCTTCAGTTTTTACTCAGACAGATCTGTGGGTCACACTGTTCAAAGAAAAAGCAAAATACACGCATGTAAATACATACATTAGACAATCACACTTATGTAAACATTGAATTCAATAAAGTGAATGGCTCTCGAAGCATCTTATACCAACCTTCCCATCACTCCTCTACCAGGATCAATGAGAAGGAGCTGTGTGTATGCTTCTGTGTATTTATGAGTCAATCCCAGTCAGAGCATACACAGGGTTTAGAACTCTGTCCGTGTGACCCTGACCATACGTCCCTGCATTATACCCAGAAGTACAGGGTTTTTCCATGTCATTCCCAGCAGTGAACAGAACAGTGGGAGGAGCGAAGGGGAGTATTTGTATGCGTGGCAGCAGGTATTAATTACAATTGTATTCATTGTTTTATTAATGTGCATCTGACAATGCAATTTCAAAACATAAGAAATACAGATAGGAAGTAACAAGACGGCCAGGGCTGTACCTTGATGTTCATCAGTCATCAAGGACATCTAGCAGGGCATGTCTACCCTACTGCCAGGCATGAATGCATAAACTTGTAAACGTGTTAAACTGGCCACGCATAGCTTACTGGATTTCTGGCATGATCCAGAGTTGGTTTTTTTCTTACATTTGTAGAGGAACGTCACCCCTGCTATTTTTCCTACACCTTCTTACATGTTATGCTTGGTTCTCACCAAAAAATATACTCACCTCTCCAGCGAATCCAGAATTGCCCTGCTGTGATCCGCCAATCCCCTGCCACATCCTGGGACACACTCAGCCATCTTCTTCTGTTGCAGTGGGAGCCGGTAGTCTCTTTTAGATGCGTGAATGCCCCCCAGTGACACGTGTCCAGGTCTGCCCACCAGCTGCTGTGAATTCCTTCTGGGATATGTGACAACATAGCCTGACCAGTTTGCTTTGAATCTAGGAGCCAGCTAAAAAAAAAGTTAAGCCAGGTTTTTCTTAAACTAAAAAAGCTTTATTTTCAATTACAGTTTTAAATGGCGCATGCGGCAATACCCGATGTGAAGTGTAATCGTCGCTAGTTTGCACACGTTCGACTTTGCTTTTTTGGGGGGTATTTTTTATTTTATTTAGCTTTATTTTTGAAACTTTTTTACTTCATTGCCATCACATAGTGTGGGGGGGGTTATGGTGCAGCGGGGGCATGGGTAGAATCCTGCCCGCTGGGCGCCGGCTGCATCTGTCTGTGTCCTCTCCAATCTCCGCCGATACAGACAGGGAGAGCAGCGGGGTTCGAATGGGACACACACCACGCAACAATCGGGTCGGGGGGAGCAGAGCTGATGCGCTGGCCGGGACTGCATGTCTGGTGCGTCGGGCAATAGGAATTGCTCAACCCTGGTGCAAGCAGTGAACGGGCTGACAAAAGCAATTTCTAGTCACCATAGCGACCTGGGAATTGTTGAGCCCTGTGTCATAGTAACGTT